TTCAGGTACTTGTTCAGGGCAAAGAGGCGGCTGAAATGTTCAGAACCCATTCTGTAGCACGGGAGGGGTCCAGAGATAATTTTTCTCTTCCCTGTGCTAGCGAGGGTGTTAATTTTTTGGGGTGGAGTCCTCCCTCAGTTCGCCTAAAACGAAGGTCGTTAAAACCTACGTGAGTGACGATGGTGTCGGTACTGGAGTAGTGGGTCAGAACCGTGGACAGGAGGGAGATGATGTCATGGACATGGGCTCCTGGGTGACAGAGGACCTTGGTCGGACCACATATCGTAGGCAAGCCAAAATCTCTCACTATCGAGCTGCCCACAATGATGGTGGTCGTGATGGAATCCGATGGGGAAGCGACCTGCTGAACTGTGGTGGCTGTGGGGGAGGGTGCCACTGGATGGCTGTTAGAATACACCCAGGATTCGTGCTGATTCGTGCTGACTCCCGGGGATGGTAGGTCCTTCTCAATCGGGGCAAAGCTGTTTGATAGCTGGATGGGATCTTCTCGGATAGATGAAGGGTGGCCAGACTGCCTCCCTGATCTCCTACACCACTGTGTCCAGTCTCCCATGGGCCGCGGAGTTGAGCTGCTACTCTCTATTTATTATCTATGCATAATCACTTTAATAACTCTACCTACATGTACATATTACCCCAATTACCTCAACTAACCTGTACCCCCGCACATTGACTCTGTACAGGTACCCCCTGTATATAGCCTCCCTACTGTTATTTCCCATAGCCTCTGTACCGGTACCCCCTGTATATAGCCTCCCTACTGTTATTTCCCATGGACTCTGTACCGGTACCCCCTGTATATAACCTCCCTACTGTTATTTCCCATTGACTCTGTACCGGTACCCCCCTGTATATAGCCTCCCTACTGTTATTTCCCATTGACTCTGTACCGGTACCCCCCTGTATATAGCCTCCCTACTGTTATTTCCCATTGACTCTGTACCGGTACCCCCTTGTATATAGCCTCCCTACTGTTATTTCCCATTGACTCTGTACCAGTACCCCCTGTATATAGCCTCCCTACTGTTATTTCCCATTGACTCTGTACCGGTACCCCCCTGTATATAGCCCTCCCTACTGTTATTTCCCATTGACTCTGTACCGGTACCCCCCTGTATATAGCCTCCCTACTGTTATTTCCCATTGACTCTGTACCGGTACCCCCTGTATATAGCCTCCCTACTGTTATTTCCCATTGACTCTGTACCGGTACCCCCTGTATATAGCCTCCTTACTGTTATTTCCCATTGACTCTGTACCGGTACTCCCCTGTATATAGCCTCCCTACTGTTATTTCCCATTGACTCTGTACCGGTACCCCCTGTATATAGCCTCCCTACTGTTATTTCACATTGTCTCTGTACCGGTACCCCCTTGTATATAGCCTCCCTACTGTTATTTCACATAGCCTCTGTACCGGTACCCCCTGTATATAGCCTCCCTACTGTTATTTCCCATTGACTCTGTACCGGTACCCCCTGTATATAGCCTCTCTACTGTTATTTCACATTGACTCTGTACCGGTACCCCCTGTATATAGCCTCCCTACTGTTATTTCCCATTGACTCTGTACCGGTACCCCCTGTATATAGCCTCCCTACTGTTATTTCCCATGACTCTGTACCGGTACCCCCATGTATATAGCCTCCCTAATGTTATTTCCCATTGACTCTGTACCGGTACCCCCTGTATATAGCCTCCTACTGTTATTTCACATTGTCTCTGTACGGTACCCCCTGTATATAGCCTCCCTACTGTTATTTCACATAGCCTCTGTACGGTACCCCCTTGTATATAGCCTCCCTACTGTTATTTCCCATTGACTCTGTACCGGTACCCCCTGTATATAGCCTCCCTACTGTTATTTCCATTGACTCTGTACGGTACCCCTGTATATAGCCTCCCTACTGTTATTTCCCTATTGACTCTGACGGTACCCTCGTATATAGCCTCTCTATGTTATTTCACATTGACTCTGTACCGGAACCCCTGTATATAGCCTCCCTACTGTTTATTTCACCATTGATCGGTACCGGTACCCCCGTTGTATATGCCTCCCTACTGTTATTTCCCATTGACTCTGTACCGGTACCCCCCATGTATATAGCCTCCCTACGTTATTCCCATGACTCTGTACCGGTACCCCCTGTATATAGCCTCCTACTGTTATTTCCCATTGACTCTGTACCGGTACCCCCTGTATATAGCATCCCTACTGTTATTTCCCATTGACTCTGTAACGGTACCCCCTGTATATAGCCTCCCTACTGTTATTTCCCATTGACTCTGTAACGGTACCCCCCTCTATATAGCCTCGCTACTGTTATTTCCCATTGACTCTGTACCGGTACCCCCCTGTATATAGCCTCCATACTGTTATTTCCCATTGACTCTGTACCGGTACCCCCTGTATATAGCCTCCCTACTGTTATTTCCCATTGACTCTGTACCGGTACATTTACATTTACATTTTAGTCATTTAGCAGACGCTCTTATCCAGAGCGACTTACAGGAGCAATTAGGGTTAAGTGCCTTGCTTAAGGGCACATCGACAGATTTTCACATAGTCGGCTCGGGGATTAGAACCAGCGACCTTTCGGTTACTGGCACAACGCTCTTACCCACTAAGCTACCTGCCGCCCAAGCTACCTGCCGCCCCGGTACCCCCTGTATATAGCCTCCCTACTGTTATTTCCCATTGACTCTGTACCGGTACCCCCTGTATATAGCCTCCCTACTGTTATTTCCCATTGACTCTGTACCGCTACTCCCCTGTATATAGCCTCCCTACTGTTATTTCCCATTGACTCTGTACCGGTACCCCCCTGTATATAGCCTCCCTACTGTTATTTCACATTGTCTCTGTACCGGTACCCCCTGTATATAGCCTCCCTACTGTTATTTCACATAGCCTCTGTACCGGTACACCCTGTATATAGCCTCCCTACTGTTATTTCCCATTGACTCTGTACCGGTACACCCTGTATATAGCCTCTCTACTGTTATTTCCACATGACTCTGTACCGGTACCCCTGATATAGCCTCCCTACTGTTATTTCCCATTGACTCTGTACCGGTACCCCCTGTATATAGCCTCTCTACTGTTATTACACATTGACTCTGTACCGGTACCCCCCAGCCTCCCTACTGTTATTTCCCATTGACTCTGTACCGGTACCCCCTGTATATAGCCTCCCTACTGTTATTTCCCATTGACTCTGTACCGGTACCCCCTGTATATAGCCTCCCTACTGTTATTTCCCATTGACTCTGTACCAGTACCCCCTGTATATAGCCTCCCTACTGTTATTTCCCATTGACTCTGTACGGTACCCCCTGTATATAGCCTCCCTACTGTTATTTCCCATTGACTCTGTACCGGTACCCCCTGTATATAGCCTCCCTACTGTTATTTCCCATTGACTCTGTACCGGTACCCCCTGTATATAGCCTCCCTACTGTTATTTCCCATTGACTCTGTACCGGTACCCCCTGTATATAGCCTCCCTACTGTTATTTCCCATTGACTCTGTACCGGTACCCCCTGTATATAGCCTCCCTACTGTTATTTCCCATTGACTCTGTACCGGTACCCCCCTGTATATAGTCTCCCTACTGTTATTTCCCATTGACTCTGTACCGGTACCCCCTGTATATAGCCTCCCTACTGTTATTTCCCATTGACTCTGTACCGTTACCCCCCTGTATATAGCCTCCCTACTGTTATTTCCCATTGACTCTGTACCGGTACCCCCCTGTATATAGCCTCCCTACTGTTATTTCCCATTGACTCTGTACCGGTACCCCCCTGTATATAGCCTCCCTACTGTTATTTTACTGCTGCTCTTTATTATTTGTTACTTTTATTTCGTATTTTTTGGGGGTATTCTTTCTTAAAACTGCATTATTGGTTAAGGGCTTGTAAGTAAGCATTTCACTGTAAGGTCTACACCTGTTGTAGTCAGCGCATGTGACAAATACGAGTTGATTTGATCTGTCCGTTGGATTGGGACAGATCAACACCGCCCGACTCATCGACAGCTTTGCAATAGGAGGCATTTAAAACTGAGATGAGGTTTGCCTGGGTTACAGCAAGGTCGGTGTACTTAGAAAGCAGGTTATCCTTTTGTCACAGCCGAGCTAACAGCCGGAGGATCTCTTCTCTGAGCTGCTTGATGGTGGTGAATTTAGGGCAGAAAAATCCCTGTCCATTTTCCAGTTACACCTTATCTTCATCTTGTGACAGTGTGGAAATCATCTCACACCAGAAGAATTTGTGCCCAGCCTTGGATAAAAACACCGGTGGGCTAGCACTGCTAGCGTTAGCCTGCTCCGTTTTCATGATGGCTAGCAGCTAACTGCTACTTAACAGGAATCCGGGACACAAACTTGCGGTCCCAGCCTTAAAGGCTGACCACATCACGGAATCCGTAGCAATACAAACTTTAGTTATAATTAAAAACTATTTAATGAAAACTATTTCATAAAAACAACAAACCGAGTGTAGACAGTACACTGTTCTGTTGCGCGCTTTGATGACGTTAGCAGAATAGTCTAGCGTCCAGACAGGCCAGCGTCCAGACAGGTCCAGCCAAAAACCACATCTGCCACTTCTGCGCACAGCTTTTTATTTACTGAGCATATCACCACACACCACACAAAGCATATCTTTCCAGTTTTACATGAACCATTGGTAAATATAGTACTTTACATATTCTACATGAAAAATATGTATTTTATTGTCTTCATATTGTATGAAGATAGCATATACTTATTCACAGAATCACTTCTGGACTGAACAGGGCGTTCACATTCTGTGTATCACAGAATCATATCCAGGGATTCAAATTGTTTTGTTTTGGCTTATCTCACTTCCTCATTCCTCAGAACCAAAGCTATAAACATGGCCTTTGCTGACCATTAGAAAGGGTGGGAAAAAAGCTTTTGCCAATAGAAAGTCATTGAGAAAGTTGCATAGTTCATTCCTGCAAGGATCTTATCTCCAGCCATGTAGCTGTATAGTTATTCTCTCTAGGGTCCTGAAGTACCACAGCTGGTCCTCTTGGTCTAGGGGTGACGTGGGATGTACTGTGTCCCAGACTCCTCTCCCCTTCTCCCCCCTGCCCTCCCCTCTCCTCCCCTATCAGACAGCACAGCAGAGACCAGAGATGTTGTCTGAAGGAGTGAGACAGCATGTAGAGAGCAGGGTTCAGGAAGCAGTGGGCGTAGGCCAAAATACGACACACAACGTACACAACATACAGCCTCTTCGTGACCTCACAGTCAGTGTATACAGACAAGAGGAAGATGGTTAGGTTGTACGGCGCCCAGCAGACGAAGAACGCTACCACGATACAAAAGACCACCAGCACTGTGCGGTGTCGTCTCCTGGTCGCAGTTACCAGGACCGTCCTGAGAATGGCACTGTAGCAGAGGATGATGATGATGAGAGGGAGGATGAAGAGCAGGGACACCTGCAGGTAGTAGCCCAGCTTCTGGGGACAGAGAGAGGGAGGGAGGTTATATATGAATATCCAGCTTCTGGGGGACAGAGAGGGGGAGAGAGGTTATATATGAATATCCAGCTTCTGGGGACAGAGAGAGGGAGGGAGGTTATATATGAATATCCAGCTTCTGGGGGACAGAGAGAGGGAGGGAGGTTATATATGAATAACCAGCTTCTGGGGGACAGAGAGAGGGAGGGAGGTTATATATGAATATCCAGCTTCTGGGGGACAGAGAGAGGGAGGGAGGTTATATATGAATAACCAGCTTCTGGGGGACAGAGAGAGGGAGGGAGGTTATATATGAATAACCAGCTTCTGGGGGACAGAGAGAGGGAGGGAGGTTATATATGAATATCCAGCTTCTGGGGGACAGAGAGAGGGAGAGAGGTTATATATGAATATCCAGCTTCTGGGGGACAGAGAGAGGGAGGGAGGTTATATATGAATAACCAGCTTCTGGGGGACAGAGAGAGGGAGGGAGGTTATATATGAATATCCAGCTTCTGGGGGACAGAGAGAGGGAGAGAGGTTATATATGAATATCCAGCTTCTGGGGGACAGAGAAAGGGAGAGAGGTTATATATGAATATCCAGCTTCTGGGGGACAGAGAGAGGGAGAGGGAGGTTATATATGAATATCCAGCTTCTGGGGGACAGAGAGAGGGAGGGAGGTTATATATGAATATCCAGCTTCTGGGGGACAGAGAGAGGGGGAGAGGTTATATATGAATATCCAGCTTCTGGGGGACAGAGAGAGGGAGAGAGGTTATATATGAATATCCAGCTTCTGGGGGACAGAGAGAGGGAGAGAGGTTATATATGAATATCCAGCTTCTAGGGGACAGAGAGAGGGGGAGAGAGGTTATATATGAATATCCAGCTTCTAGGGGACAGAGAGAGGGGGAGAGAGGTTATATATGAATATCCAGCTTCTAGGGGACAGAGAGAGGGGGAGAGAGGTTATATATGAATATCCAGCTTCTGGGGGACAGAGAGAGGGGGAGAGAGGTTATATATGAATATCCAGCTTCTGGGGGACAGAGATATATTTTACTTATAAGGACTGAATGCTACGTTAGGCTACCAAGCTTCCTAGAACAGAACAGATATTATCTGACTGCAACTTCAATTAGCACTGAGGTGTGAAGTGAGAGGTGTCAAAGCCCTTGAGCCCAACAATGGCAGGAGAGTTCCACAGCCTCCCAGAGGCCTTTGAACCCCCCTCCCTCTCAGAGGTCATTACAATACAGTATCCTCTGGATGTAAAAAATGACGAGCTCCTCATGGAAAATCAAGAGACACTTTCTGCTGACTATTATAAAAATGGGAACGTAAGCAACTTAATCTTCCACACAGACCATCCCCTGGCATGGCAGAGTGCTATATTAACACACTATCCCTCTGTTAAGATGGGGGTGTTAGCGATGGGTGGGAACTCACGATACTAGACAACGAGGACTCTGAGTCAGCCAATGTCAACCTGTATAAGTCTGGAACAGTAACAGTACAGGGCAACCCCAAACAGTTTCAGCTGGACTTTCACATAATCAAAGAGAGAGCTCAGCAGGATAAGCTCTCTCTTGAGAAAGATACCCCCACCCCAAGCGTGTCAGACCAGACCTCCTCATTAAATAACCCCACAGTCGAGCATCCCCAAGTGGAAAGTCAACCTCCCAGCACGGAGAAACACTTTTTGCACAGAGTACTACTCCCTCATTGAAATGAAGGATTAATTCACCCAGCTGGAGGTAAGGCAGGTGGAGCTGGAACAGCAGGTGAACACACTCCAGTCAGCAGAAAAAATTGTCCAGCTCAACAACACCCCCTCAACCAGACCCGGAGAGCTGGAGGTGGAGAGAGACATGTCTGCACTCTGGACTGTGGTGAGACAACATCAACAGGAGAAAGAGCAGGAGCAGGAAAGGAACAGAGCACTAGAGGAGAGGATCAGAGTGCTGGAGGAGAAGGTGAGAACGATGACGGGTGACAGAGAACAACCCATTAGAGAGCTGGCCACCACCGCAGAGAAGCCAGGAGAACAGCCCACCTCAGACACTGACCAAAGTCTCAACAGCACAGCAGAATAGACCACCTCAGACCATAGCCTCAACATCACAGCAGGACAGACAAATGAATAACCCCAAGCCCAGCGGATCCCACCCCCTCTGAGCACACCCCCTGTCAGCCACCCTGATAGCCCTCCTGACAACCGCCCAACACCAACTGAGGACATACACAAGCCACAGATTGTACTCCTTATGGACTTAAACGGGAAATATATACAAGAAAATTAACTTTTTCACAAACACACAGTGTCTAAACTCTGCTGTCCAAACACCCAGCGCACCCTAGACCTTCTGTCTGAGGACCAACTAGGATCACCCAGCCACATAATAATACACAGGCACAAACAACCTGAGAGCCCAGCTACCACAAACAAACTTCCACCCTGCAAATATTTCCTGTGACTGTGCCTCAAAACCAAATGTTTGCCTGGCCCACCACTCCACCCTGGACTTGAACAGCCTTTACGACCAGGTCCACCTGTACAGGGCAGCAGTGCCCACCTTCGCTCGGACCCTAAAGGATATTGCCCTCAACCGCAGCCCCAACACCTCACACAGGAGCAACAGATCAACAGACACCCCGCCCAGACCAGCGAGGTCATCTGCCTTTGGCCTAAAGAGCAGGAACCTGGACTTCACCAAATAAATCAGAAATACAGACATTGTCATCCTACAAGAAACATGGTATAGAGGAGACGGACCCACTGGTTGCCCTCTAGGTTACAGAGAGCTGGTAGTCTCCCATCCACCAAACTACCAGGTGTGAAACAGGGAAGGGACTCAGGGGGTATGCTAATTTGGTATAGAGCAGACCTAACTCACTCTATTCAATTAATCAAAACAGGAACATTTTACATTTGAGAAATTGAGAAACCTATCCAACCAAAAACATAGAGACCCAGAAAACCTGAGCCTTTGGTGAATCACTAAAACAATACAGAATCCATAGACTCTAATCACTTCTGGGAAGATCGTAAAAACACTAAACAAACAACAACAACAAGAGTTATCTATCCAAAACTGAGATATTTTTGGCCCTATATCAAAGAACAAACAGCAAAAACATATACATGATCAAATACAAATCTTAGAATCAACTACTAAAGACTAGCAGAACCCACTGGATTCTCCAATTACATTGAATGAACTACAGGACAAAATACAAACCCTCCAACCCAAAAAGGCCTGTGGTGTTGATGGTATCCTCAATGAAATGATAAAATATACAGACCACAAATTCCAATTGGCTATACTTAAACTCTTTAACATCACCCTTAGCTCTGGCATCTTCCCAAAAAATTGGAACCAAGGACTGATCACCTAAATCCACAAAAGTGGAGACAAATTTGACCCCAATAACTACCGTGTGATATGCGTCAACAGCAACCTTGGGAAAATCCTCTGCATTATCATTAACAGCAGACTCGTACATTTCCTCAGTGAAAACAATGTACTGAGCAAATGTCAACTTGGCTTTCTACCAAATTATCGTACGACTGACCACGTATTCACCCTGCACACCCTAATTGACAAACAAACAAACCAAAACAAAGGCAACGTCTTCTCATGCTTTGTTGATTTCAAAAACCTTTTCACTCAATTTGGCATGAGGGTCTGCTATACAAACTGATGGAAAGTGGTGTTGGGGAAAACATACAATATTATAAAATCTGTGTACACAAACAACAAGTATGCGGTAAAAATTGGCAAAAAACACACATTTCTTTCCACAAGGCCGTGGGGTGAGACAGGGATGCAGCTTAAGCCCCACCCTCTTCAACATATATATCAACGAATTGGCGAGGGCACTAGAACAGTCTGCAGCACCTGGCCTCACCCTACTAGAATCAAAACTTTAATGTCTACTGTTTGCTGATGATCTGGTTCTTCTGTCACCAACCAAGGAGGGCCTATAGCAGCACCTAGATCTTCTGCACAGATTCTGTCAGACATGGGCCCTGACAGTAAATCTCATTAAGACAAAAATTATGGTGTTCCAAAAAAGGTCCAGTTGCCAGGACCACAAATACAAATTCCATCTAGACTCCGTTGCCCTAGAGCACACAAAAAACAATATATACCTCGGCCTAAACATCAGCGGCACAGGTAGCTTCCACAAAACTGTGAACGATCTGAGAGACAAGGCAAGAAGGGCCTTGCCATCAAATGGAACATAAAATTTGACATACCAATTAGGATCTGGCTAAAAATACTTGAATCAGTTATAGAACCCTTTATGGATGTGAGGTCTGGGGTCCGCTCACCATCCAAGAATTCACAAAATGAGACAAACACCAAATTGAGACTCTGCATGCAGAATTCTGCAAAAATATCCTCAGTGTACAACGTAAAATACCAAATAATCCATGCAGAGCAGAATTAGGCCGCTACCCACTAATTATCAAAATCCAGAAAAGAGCCGTTAAATTCTACAACCACCTTAAAGGAAGCGATTCCCAAACCTTCCATAACAAAGCCATCACCTACAGAGAGATAAACCTGGAAAAGAGTTCCCTAAGCAAGCTGGTCCTGGGGCTCTGTTCACAAACACAAACAGACCCCACAGAGCCCCAGGACAGCAACACAATTAAACCCAACCAAATCATGAGAAAACAAAAAGAGAATTACTTGACACATTGGAAAGAATTAACAAACTAGAATGCTATTTGGCCCTAAACAGAGAGTACACAGTGGCACAATACCTGACCACTGTGATTGACACAAACTTAAGGAAAGCTTTGACTATGTACAGACTTAGTGAGCATAGCCTTGCTATTGAGAAAGGCCGCCGTCGGCAGACCTGGCTCTCAAGAGAAGACAGGCTATGTGCACACTGCCCACAAAATGAGGTGGAAACTGAGCTGCACTTCCTAACCCAATTTTGATTAACTCCCATATCTATTGGGTGAAATACCACAGTGTGCCATCACAGCAGCAAGATTTGTTAACTGTTGCCACAAGAAAAGGGCAACCAGTGAAGAACAAACACCATTGTAAATACAACCCATATTTATGTTTATTTATTTTCCCTTTTGTACTTGAACTATTTGCACATCGTTACAACACTGTATATAGACATAATATGACATTTGAAATGTCTTTATTCTTTTGGAACTTCTGAGTGTAATGTTTACTGTTAATATTTATTGTTTATTTCACTTTTGTTTACTATCTACTTCACTTGCTTTGGCAATGTTTTTTTATTTTATTTATTTATTTTATTTTATTTTCTTGGGGGTAGATCAGCTTTAATATTGCAAATGGATTGTAACTTCCATCAATGTAATTGTCTGCATCACTTCCAATCCCTATCACGACTAGCTCTTAGTAAAATTTGCAGTATTTTGTTTTTTTATGTATTATTTTTTACATTATTAGCTCAGAAAGTGTTTTGCATCATTATATACAGCCGGGAAAAACTATTGGATATCAGAGTGGCGGTAACTCACCAGCATTACGACCAGGAATATGACTTTCCCAAAGCAGATCCCTTGTTTGCTCTCCCCAGGGCAATTGAACTGATTCCAGCGGATGACCCAAAACATCGCCTGCGGAGGAGAGGCACTCAGAGCGGCCTGCTGGTTCGACTTAGGAGGCGCGCACACCATCCACCGCTTCCAAGTACAGTTGAAGTCGGAAGTTTACATACATCTTAGCCAAATACATTTTAGCTCAGTTTTTTACAATTCCTGACATTTAATCCTAGTAAAGATTCCCTGTCTGAGGTCAGTTAGGATCACCATTTTATTTTATGAATGTGAAATGTCAGAATAATAGTAGAGAGAATGATTTATTTGAGCTTTTATTTCTTTCATCACATTCCCAGTGGGTCAGAAGTTTACATACACTCAATTAGTATTTGGTAGCATTGCCTTTAAATTGTTTAACTTGGGTCAAATGTTTGGGTAGCCTTCCAAAAGCTTCCCACAATAAGTTGGTTGAATTTTGGCCCATTCCTCCTGACAGAGCTGGAAGTATGCTTGGGGTCATTGTCCATTTGGAAGACCCATTTGTGACCAAGCTTTAACTTCCTGACTGATGTCTTGAGATGTTGCTTCAATGTATCCACATCATTTTCCTTCCTCATGATGCCATCTATTTTGTGAAGTGCAGCAAAGCACCCCCACAGCATGATGCTGCCACCCCTGTGCTTCACGTTTGGGATGGTGTTCTTCGGCTTGCAAGCGACCCCCTTTTTCCTCCAAACATAACGATGGTCATTATGGCCAAACAGTTCTATTTTTGTTTCATCAGACCAGAGGACATTTGTCCAAAAAGTACGATCTTTGTCCCCATGTGCAGTTGCAGACTGTAGACTGGCTTTTTTATGGCGGTTTTGGAGCAGTGGCTTCTTCCTTGCTGAGCGGCCTTTCAGGTTATGTCGATATAGGACTCGTTTTACTGTGGATATAGATACAGTGGGGGAAAAAAGTATTTAGTCAGCCACCAATTGTGCAGTATTTAGTCAGCCACCAATCTCATGATACATGGCCCCATTCATTCTCAAGTCGTCCTGGTCCCTTTGCAGAAAAACAGCCCCAAAGCATGATGTTTCCACCCCCATGCTTCACAGTAGGTATGGTGTTCTTTGGATGCAACTCAGCATTCTTTGTCCTCCAAACACGACAAGTTGAGTTTTTACCAAAAAGTTATATTTTGGTTTCATCTGACCATATGACATTCTCCCAATCCTCTTCTGGATCATCCACATTTATTTTTTTTAATTTATTTTTAATTTCACCTTTATTTAACCAGGTAAGCCAGTTGAGAACAAGTTCTCATTTACAATTGCGACCTGGCCAAGATAAAGCAAAGCAGTGCGATAAAAACAACAACACAGAGTTACATACAGTGGGGGAAAAAAGTATTTAGTCAGCCACCAATTGTGCAAGTTCTCCCACTTAAAAAGATGAGAGAGGCCTGTAATTTTCATCATAGGTACACGTCAACTATGACAGACAAAATGAGAATTTTTTTTCCAGAAAATCACATTGTAGGATTTTTAATGAATTTATTTGCAAATTATGGTGGAAAATAAGTATTTGGTCAATAACAAAAGTTTTGTCAATACTTTGTTATATACCCTTTGTTGGCAATGACACAGGTCAAACGTTTTCTGTAAGTCTTCACAAGGTTTTCACACACTGTTGCTGGTATTTTGGCCCATTCCTCCATGCAGATCTCCTCTAGAGCAGTGATGTTTTGGGGCTGTCGCTGGGCAACATGGACTTTCAACTCCCTCCAAAGATTTTCTATGGGGTTGAGATCTGGAGACTGGCTAGGCCACTCCAGGACCTTGAAATGCTTCTTACGAAGCCACTCCTTCGTTGCCCGGGCGGTGTGTTTGGGATAATTGTCATGCTGAAAGACCCAGCCACGTTTCATCTTCAATGCCCTTGCTGATGGAAGGAGGTTTTCACTCAAAATCTCACGATACATGGCCCCATTCATTCTTTCCTTTACACGGATCACTCGTCCTGGTCCCTTTGCAGAAAAACAGCCCCAAAGCGTGATGTTTCCACCCCCATGCTTCACAGTAGGTATGGTGTTCTTTGGATGCAACTCAGCATTCTTTGTCCTCCAAACACGACGAGTTGAGTTTTTACCAAAAAGTTATATTTTGGTTTCATCTGACCATTTGACATTCTCCCAATCCTCTTCTGGATCATCCAAATGCACTCTAGCAAACTTCAGACGGGCCTGGACATGTACTGGCTTAAGCAGGGGGACACGTCTTGCACTGCAGGATTTGAGTCCCTGGCGGCGTAGTGTGTTACTGATGGTAGGCTTTGTTACTTTGGTCCCAGCTCTCTGCAGGTCATTCACTAGGTCCCCCCGTGTGGTTCTGGGATTTTTGCTCACCGTTCTTGTGATCATTTTGACCCCACGGGGTGAGATCTTGTGTGGAGCCCCAGATCGAGGGAGATTATCAGTGGTCTTGTATGTCTTCCATTTCCTAATAATTGCTCCCACAGTTGATTTCTTCAAACCAAGCTGCTTACCTATTGCAGATTGCAGATTCAGTCTTCCCAGCCTGGTGCAGGTCTACAATTTTGTTTCTGGTGTCCTTTGACAGCTCTTTGGTCTTGGCCATAGTGTAGTTTGGAGTGTGACTGTTTGAGGTTTTGGACAGGTGTCTTTTATACTGATAACAAGTTCAAACAGGTGCCATTAATACAGGTAACGAGTGGAGGACAGAGGAGCCTCTTAAAGAAGAAGTTACAGGTCTGTGAGAGCCAGAAATCTTGCTTGTTTGTAGGTGACCAAATACTTATTTTCCACCATAATTTGCTAATAAATTCATTAAAAATCCTACAATGTGATTGTCTGGATTTTTTTTTCTCAATTTGTCTGTCATAGTTGACGTGTACCTATGATGAAAATTACAGGCCTCTCTCATCTTTTTAAGTGGGAGAACTTGCACAATTGGTGGCTGACTAAATACTTTTTTCCCCCACTGTATGGAGGTAAGGCAATAAATAGGCTATAGTGCAAAATAATTACAATTAGTATTAACACTGGAATGATAGATGTGCAAGAGATGATGTGCAAATAGAGATACTGGGGTACAAATGAGCAAAATAAATAACAATATAGGGATGAGGTAGTTGGGCGGGCTATTTTCAGATGGGCTGTGTACAGGTGCAGTGATCGGTAAGGTGCTCTGACAACTGATGCTTAAAGTTAGTGAGGGAGATAAGTGTCTCCAGCTTCAGAAATGTTTGCAATTTGTTCCAGTCATTGGCAGCAGAGAACTGGAAGGAATGACGGCCAAAGGAGGTGTTGGCTTTGGGGATGACCAGTGAGATATACCTGCTGGAGCGCATACTACGGGTGGGTGTTGCTATGGTGACCAATGAGCTAAGATAAGGCGGGGATTTGCTTAGCAGTGATTTATAGATGGCCTGGAGCCAGTGGGTTTGGCGACGAATATGTAGTGAGGACCAGCCAACAAGAGCGTACAGGTCACAGTGGTGGGTAGTATATGGGGCTTTGGAGACAAAACGGCTGGCACTGTTATAGACTACATCCAATTTGCTGAGTAGAGTGTTGGAGGCTATTTTGTAAATGACATCGCCGAAGTCAAGGATCGGTAGGATAGTCCGTTTTACGAGGGCATGTTTGGCAGCATGAGTGAAGTAGGCTTTGTTGCGAAATAGGAAACCGATTCTAGATTTAACTTTGGATTGGAGATTCTTAATGTGAGTTTGGAAGGAGAGTTTACAGTCTAACCAGACACCTAGGTATTTGTAGGTGTCCACATACTCTAGGTCAGACCCGTCGAGAGTAGTGATTCTAGTCGGGTGGGCGGGTGCAAGCAGCGTTCGGTTGAAGAGCATGCATTTAGTTTTACTAGTGTTTAAGAGCAGTTGGAGGCTACTGAAGGAGTGTTGTATGGCATTGAAGCTCGTTTGGAGGTTTGTTAACACAGTGTCCAATGAAGGGCCAGATGTATACAAAATTGTGTTGTCTGCATAGAGGTGGATCTGAGAGTCACCAGCAGCAAGAGCGACATCATTGATATACACAGAGAAAAGAGTCGGCCCAAGAATTGAACCCTGTGGCACCCCCATAGAGACTGCCATAGGTCCAGACAACAGGCCCTCCGATTTGACACATTGAACTCTATCTGAGAAGTAGTTGGTGAACCAGGCGAGGCAGTCATTTGAGAAACCAAGGCTATTTAGTCTGCCAATAAGAATGCGTTGGTTGACAGAGTCGAAAGCCTTGGCCAGGTCGATGAAGACGGCTGCACAGTACTGTCTATTATCGATCGCGGTTATAATATCGTTTAGGACCTTGAGCATGGCTGAAGTGCACCCATGACCAGCTCGGAAACCGGATTGCATAGCGGAGAAGGTACGGTGGGATTCGAAATGGTCGGTGATCTGTTTGTTAACTTGGCTTTCAAAAACTTTCGAAAGGCAGGGCAGGATGGATATGGGTCTGTAACAGTTTGGATCTAGAGTTTCACCCCCTTTGAAGATGGGGATGACCGCGGCAGCTTTCCAATCTCTGGGGATCTCAGACGTTACGAAAGAGAGGTTGAACAGGCTAGTAATAGGGGTTGCGACAATTTCGGCGTCTAATTCTAGAAAGAAAGGGTCCAGATTGTCTAGCCCAGATGATTTGTAGGGGTCCAGATTTTGCAGCTCTTTCAGAACATCAGCTGTTTGGATTTGTGTGAAGGAGAAGCGGGGGGGGGGGGGGGCATGGGCAAGTTGCAGCGGAGGGTGCAGAGTTGGTGGCCGGGGTAGTGGTAGCCAGGTGGAAAGCATGGCCAGCCGTAGCAAAATGCTTGTTGAAATTCTCGATTATTGTAGATTTATCGGTGGTGATAGTGTTTTCTAGCCTCAGTGCAGTGGGCAGCTGGGAGGAAGTGCTCTTATTCTCCATGGACTTTACAGTGTCCCAAAACTTTTTGGAGTTAGTGCTACAGGATGCAAATTTCTTTTTGAAAAAGTTAGCCTTTGCTTTCCTAACTGCTTGTGTATATTGGTTCCTAACTTCCCTGAAAAGTTGCATATCGCGGGGGCTATTTGATGCTAAAGCAGTACGCCACAGGATGTTTTTGTGCTGGTCAAGGGCAGTCAAGTCTGAGGAGAACCAGGGGCTATATCTGTTCTTAGTTCTGTATTTTTTGAATGGGGCATGTTTATTTAAGATTGAGAGGAAATTACTTTTAAAGAACAACCAGGCATCCTCTACTGACGAAATGAGATATATATCCATCCAGGATACCTGGGCCAGGTCAATTAGGAAGGCCTGCTCGCTGAAGTGTTTTAGGGAGCGTTTGACAGTGATGAGGGGTGGTCGTTTGACCGCGGACCCGTTACGGACGCAGGCAATAAGGCAGTGATCGCTGAGATCCTGGTTGAAGACAGCGGAGGTGTATTTAGAGGGTAAGTTAGTCAGGATGATATCTATGAGGGTACCCATGTTTACGGATTTAGGGTTGTACCTGGTAGGTTCGTTGATAATTTGTGTGAGATTGAGGGCATCTAGTTTAGATTGTAGGATGGCCGGGGTGTTAAGCATATCCCAATTTAGATCACCAAGCAGTACGAACTCTGAGGATAGATGGGGGGCAATCAATTCACATATGGTGTCCAGGGCACAGCTGGGAGCTGAGGGGGGTCTGTAGCAAGCGGCAACAGTGAGAGATTTATTTCTGGAAAGGTGGATTTTTAGAAGTAGAAGCTCAAACTGTTTGGACACAGACCTGGATAGTATGATAGAGCTCTGCAGGCTATCCCTACAGTAGATTGCAACTCCACCCCCTTTGGCACTTCTATCTAGACGGAAAATGTTATAGTTGGGGATGGAAATTTCAGAATCTTTGGTGGCCTTCCTAAGCCAGGATTCAGACACTGCTAGGACATCAGGGTTGGCGGAGTGTGCTAACGCAGTGAATAACTCAAACTTAGGAAGGAGGCTTATGATATTTACGTGCAGAAAACCAAGGCTTTTACGGTTACAGAAGTCAACAAATGATAGCTCATGGGGAGTAGGAGTGATACTGGGGGCTGCAGGGCCTGGGTTAGCCTCTACATCACCAGAGGAACAGAGGAGGAGTAGAATAAGGATACGACTAAAGGCTTTAAGAACTGGTCTTCTAGTGCGTTGGGTACATAGAATAAAGGGGGCAGATTTCCGGGCGTTGTAGAAAAGATTCAGGGCATTATGTACAGACAAGGATATGGAAGGATATGAGTACAGTTGAGGTAATCCTAAGCGTTGGGTAACTATGAAAGAGATAGCATCACTGGAGGCACCGATTGAGCCGGTCTCGGCGTGTATGGGGGGTGGAACAAAGGAACTATTTGAGGCAGTTTGAGAGGGACTTGGGGCTCTACAGTGAAATTGTATAATAAGAACAAACCCAAACAGCAATAGGCAAGGCATATTGACATGGGAGAGAGGCATAAAGCAATCACAGGTGTTATTAGAGAGAGCTAAGACGACAACTGGTAATAGCGATAAAGTTTGGGCTGAGGCTAAACAGAGTAAACAGGACATGGTACCGTGTAAAGGAACAGTCCAGCAGGCATCAGCTGTGCAGCTGAGTGATCATAAGGTCCAGTGAACAGCAATATGTAAGTCCGAGAGCAGTTCAAATTGGTGCTTCAGCACAGCTAGCAGGAAGCACAGTTGTAGTTTGCGTGTGCTAGCGGGCCGGGGCTAGCAGATGGATCTTCGTGGTCGTCGCAACGGGAAGCCTGTTGAAACCACATCAGACGATTTCGTCGGCAAACCAGTCGTGTTGGATCGGCGGGGCTCAGTGTCAACACTAGGAGGTCCCGTCCGGTTGACAGAGAGGTAGATAGCCGGGAGATGGGCCAGAGGCTAGCTCAAGGCTAACTGGTGCTTGCTATGGGGCAATGGTAATTAGCCAACAACAGGTTGCAGCTAGCTGGTTGCGATGATCCGGCGCTAGGGTCCAGTGATTTCGGCAGAAAGTCCGATATGCTCTGGGTCGATAGCACGCTGTGCAGACTGGCCGACGAATTGTCCAGGCTAGAGCTGGCTGGTGGATAGTGCAGGCCACGGACAGTGGTGAAGACGCTAACGGTGACTAATATCAAGTAGCCATTCAGTTGCAGCTAGACTAGTTTCAGCTTAAGGTTCTTGATGAAAGTTATAAAGAAATAATAGAATCCTTTCCACGTTGGGTGAGGCGGGTTGCAGGAAAGTATATTTAGTTAAAGAATGAAAAGTAAAATTGAGAAATAAATACAAAATAGACAAAAGAAACAAGAAACTGGATATTTACACTAGGACACAGAATAAAACCACAACCGCACTGCTACGCCATCTTGGACAAATGCACTCTAGCAAACTTCAGACGGGCCTGGACATGTACTGGCTTAAGCAGGGGGACACGTCTCGCACTGCAGGATTTGAGTCCCTGGCGGCGTAGTGTGTTACTGATGGTAGGCTTTGTTACTTTGGTCCCAGCTCTCTGCAGGTCATTCACTAGGTCCCACCGTGTGGTTCTGGGATTTTTGCTCACCGTTCTTGTGATCATGTTGACCCCACGGGGTGAGATCTTGCGACCACACGGGGGGACCTAGTGAATGACCTGCAGAGAGCTGGGACCAAAGTAACAAAGCCTACCATCACTAACACACTACGTGCATTTGGATGATCCAGAAGAGGATTGGGAGAATGTCATATGGTCAGATGAAACCAAAATAGAACTTTTTGGTAAAAACTCAACTCGTGTTTGGAGGACAAAGAATGCTGAGTTGCATCCAAAGAACACCATACCTACTGTGAAGCATGGGGGTGGAAACATCATGCTTTGGGGCTGTTTTTCTGCAAAGGGACCAGGACGACTGATCCGTGTAAAGGAAAGAATGAATCGTGAGATTTTGAGTGAAAACCTCCTTCCATCAGCAAGGGCATTGAAGATGAAACGTTTCAGAAGCATTTCAAGGTCCTGGAGTGGCCTAGCCAGTCTCCAGATCTCAACCCCATAGAAAATCTTTGGAGGGAGTTGAAAGTCTGTGTTGCCCAGCGACAGCCCCAAAACATCACTGCTCTAGAGGAGATCTGCATGGAGGAATGGGCCAAAATACCAGCAAAAGTGTGTGAAAACCTTGTGAAGACTCACAGAAAACGTTTGACCTGTGTCATTGCCAACAAAGGGTATATAACAAAGTATTGAGAAACTTTTGTTATTGACCAAATACTTATTTTCCACCATAATTTGCAAATAAATTCATTAAAAATCCTACAATGTGATTTTCTGGAGAAAAAAAATTTCTCATTTTGTCTGTCATAGTTGACGTGTACCTATGATGAAAATTACAGGCCTCTCTCATCTTTTTAAGTGGGAGAACTTGCACAATTGGTGGCTGACTAAATACTTTTTTCCCCCACTGTATAACCTATACACTTATTATGGACACAGTATGCTTACATTATTAGTTATCTTGTTATTAGTTGTTGTTAGTTGTTATTAGTCCCATCCTCTGTAGCTCAGCTGGTAGAGCACGGCGCTTGTAACGCTAAGGTAGTGGGTTCGATCCCCGGGACCACCCATACACAAAAAATTTATGCACGCATGACTGTAAGTCGCTTTGGATAAAAGCGTCTGCTAAATGGCATATTATTATTATTATTATTATTATTATCCTTCAACTCCATTCAACACCACCCATCTATCTCTTAACACCATCCATATTGGATTTCTATTTGCCATATATTTTTCAACTGTACTGTGATGTTTTACAAAAGTTCTGAACCTTTCTATTCTCATTGTTTCTACAGATTGTAAATTGAAAATAAACATTTTTGCTAAAAGTATTATTATATTATTGATCGATTGACTGTGACTTTTTAGATCACCCAGTAATGCTATCTGCAAGGTTAGCTCCAGGTAAATATTGCAATCCTTCAGCCATTCTTGGACCTGTGTCCAAAAACAAGCTACAAATGGGCAGTACCAAAACAAATGATCTAATGATTCCGTCTCTTCGCAGCAAAATCTGCAGAGCTGGGAAGATTGTATCCCCCATATAAATAGTATTCTATTGGTAGCAATAATTTTATATAGCAATTTAAATTGAACAATTCTAAGTTTTGAATCCGGTGTCGTTTTGCGTGTCAGTTCATAAACACTATGCCATGGAATCGGTACGTCAAAAATCTCTTCCCAACTATTTTGCAATCTATATGGGACGGCTTTCAATCCTTTGGTCCTTAAATGAAACTTGTATACTTTTTTATTTATCACAGTTTTCTTTAACCAGTTATGTTCTTTAATGCAGACAGACAAGTTCCTTACTTTTTCCCCCTTCCACTTTCCTCTTCCATTTTTGTGGTAATACTACAATTATTTGGTTGTAGTTTTGGGTAGAGCAGACATTTCCATATGTTTTTGTTAGCTGCATGTGCGACATAACTCCACCAGTCACACAATATTTGTTGCATTATTTGTTCTGTTGTTTCTGGAGTATTAAATTGAAATTGCAACCAACTTTCTATGGCTTGTTTTAGAAATAGTGATATTTGGGAGATTATTTCTTTTTCAAATAACTGAAAGTGAGAAGTTGTAATCTGAATAAAGGGAAAAAGGCCATTCTTGAACATGGGGTGAGACAATCTGACTAATTTGCTAGAGCACCAGTTATAACTTTTGTATGACTGAAGCTTTTAGTGATAGGTCTAGTGCTTTAATATTTAATAATTTCTGTCCTCCGAATTCATATTCATTATATAAATAGGCCCGTTTAATTTTGTCTGGCTTGCCGTTCCAAATAAAATTGAATATTCTTTTCTCATATAATTTAAAAAACTGTTCGCTCGGCGTAGGCAAGACCATAAGCAAATAGGTAAACTGGGATAATACTAAAGAGTTAATCAGGGTGATTTTTCCACAAATTGACAGGTATTTACCTTTCCATGGTAGCAAGATCTTATCTATTTTTGCCAACTTTCTATTAAAATGTATTGGAGTGAGATCATTTATTTCATTTGGGATATGTATTCCGAGTATATCCACATCACCATCAGACCATTTTATTGGTAAACTACATGGTAATGTAAAAATTGTATTTTTTAGTGATCCAATACGTAATATAGTGCATTTAACATAATTTGGTTGTAATCCAGAGAGGTTAGAAAATATATCTAGATCCTCTCTGAGGCTGTGGAGGGATTATATAGGAATTGTCAGCTTCTGGGGGACAGAGAGAGAGAGAGAGAGAGAGAGAGCGGCGGGGGGGGGGGGGGGGGGGGGGTTATATAGGAATTGTCAGCTTCTGGGGGACAGAGAGAGAGAGGGGTTATATATGAATATCCAACATTGGAAAAGGAGCTGGGCACAATTAGAAACAGGAATGTCCACTCACTGTTTGCTGAAACACAAAGTACATACAAAGACCATGTCAGTGGAAACTTGTATCACTGAAAGCTTAATGAAAGATCACTCGTATGAGCTGTAAACAGTGTTACTGTAACCCACCTCCTCATCCGAAGTTCCAGGTGAGACCTCACAAGTGAACATTCTTGTCCCGTTTTCCACTTCCTGTACCCGGGAGGATATGACATCACTGAGGGAGGCGGCCAGGCTGACTACCCATGATGCTGTGCAGGCGGCCCAAGCGAACCTCAGTCGTCTCCGGGGCACGGCAACCCAGCGGGAGACGACGACTGTCACACAGCGGTCAACAGTCATGGAGGTCAGCAGCATCATACTGCTGTAGAGCCCGGTGAAGTACGCCCCCGTCAACAGCTTACAGGCCTGGGGTCAGAGGTTAGGGTTAGAGGTCAGAGGTTAAGGTTAGGAGTCAGAGGTTAAGGTTAGGAGTCAGAGGTTAGGGTTAGGAGTCAGAGGTTAGGAGTCAGAGGTTAGGGTTAGAGGTCAGAGGTTAGGGTTAGGAGTCAGAGGTTAAGGCTAGAGGTCAGAGGTTAGGGTTAGGAGTCAGAGGTTAGGGTTAGGAGTCAGAGGTTAGGGTTAGGAATCAGAGGTTAGGGTTAGGAGTCAGAGGTTAAGGCTAGAGGTCAGAGGTTAGGGTTAGGAGTCAGAGGTTAGGGTTAGGAGTCAGAGGTTAAGGCTAGAGGTCAGAGGTTAGGGTTAGGAGTCAGAGGTTAGGGTTAGGAGTCAGAGGTTAGGGTTAGGAGTCAGAGGTTAAGGCTAGAGGTCAGAGGTTAGGGTTAGGAGTCAGAGATTAGGGTTAGGAGTCAGAGGTTAAGGCTAGAGGTCAGAGGTTAGGTTTAGAGGTCAGAGGTTAGGGTTAGGAGTCAGAGGTTAAGGCTAGGAGTCAGAGGTTAGGGCTAGAGGTCAGAGGTTAGGGTTAGGAGTCAGAGGTTAAGGCTAGAGGTCAGAGGTTAGGGTTAGGAGTCAGAGGTTAAGGCTAGAGGTCAGAGGTTAGGGTTAGGAGTCAGAGGTTAGGGTTAGGAGTCAGAGGTTAAGGCTAGAGGTCAGAGGTTAGGGTTAGGAGTCAGAGGTTAGGGTTAGGAGTCAGAGGTTAAGGCTAGAGGTCAGAGGTTAGGGTTAGGAGTCAGAGGTTAGGGTTAGGAGTCAGAGATTAGGGTTAGGAGTCAGAGGTTAAGGCTAGAGGTCAGAGGTTAGGGTTAGAGGTCAGAGGTTAGGGTTAGAGGTCAGAGGTTAGAGGTCAGCAGCATCAGACTCCTGTAGAGCCGGTGAAGTACGCCCCCGTCAACAGCTTACAGGCCTGTGGGTCAGAGGTTAGGGTTAGGAGTCAGAGGTCAGGGTTAAATGTTAAAGGTTAGGGGTCAGCAGCATCACTGTAGTGACCGGTGAAGTACGCCCCCCGTCAACAACTTACAGGCCTGGAGGGAGGGTTGGGGTTAGAGGTCAGAGGTTAAGCGTTAGAGGTTAGGGTTAGGAGTCAGAGGTTAGGGTCTGAGGTTAGGGTTAGGGTTAGAGGTCAGAGGTTAGGAGTCAGAGGTTAGGAGTCAGAGGTTAGGGTTAGGAGTCAGAGGTTAGGGTCTGAGGTTAGGGTTAGGGTTAGAGGTCAGAGGTTAGGGTTAGAGGTCAGGGTTAGGGTTTGTCATACCCACCAGGTCACCGAACAGCCAGTGGGAGAGGTGGTAGACTGCCCAGAAGGGCAGGGTCAGGGTGAATAGGAGGTCAGAGGTCAACAGGTTGAGGACGAACAGGTTGGTGACCCTCCTCAGGTCCTCATAACGACACAAGGCAACCAGCAACAACCCGTTACCTAGACAACACAGAACACACTGTTACCTAGACAACACAGAACACACTGTTACCTAGACAACACAGAACACACCGTTCGTTACCTAGACAACACAGAACACACCGTTAACTAGACAACACAGAACACACTGTTACCTAGACAACACAAAACACACCGTTACCTAGACAACACAGGGCACACAGTAACAGGCCATTACCTGATAGGATAAAGATATTAAGATTTTCCCAATACGCATAGTTTTTTATGAAAAATAAGTAGTATTCACTAGGTTTATTCTGTTGACCGAAAGCATTGATTAATAAGTTACCTGTGACACTGAGGAGTAAGATGACCAGGAAGCAACCAAGTTACCTGTGACACTGAGGAGGAAGATGACCAGGAAGCAACCAAGTTACCTGTGACACTGAGGAGGAAGATGACCAGGAAGCAACCAAGTTACCTGTGACACTGAGGAGGAAGATGACCAGGAAGCAACCAAGTTACCTGTGACACTGAGGAGGAAGATGACCAGGAAGCAACCAAGTTACCTGTGACACTGAGGAGGAAGATGACCAGGAAGCAACCAAGTTACCTGTGACACTGAGGAGGAAGATGACCAGGAAGCAACAAGCCGTGACCTCCCCTAACGCGTCGACATCGTCACACAGCAGGACAATCTCTTCATCATAGTCTTCATCAGTGTAGTGCAGAAGGCTTTCATTCACAGAGCTGGTCTCATTCACCACGGTCTCCCAGGACTCACTCAGGTCCATTGCTGCAAAGAAGATGATTTATACTATAGAATTACAGTGAGCCAGTGACTACAGTACAGATCCCATAAAATATAGATGATTTATACTATAGAATGTGTGGCGTACAGCAGGTCAGCCACCAGGGGGAGACTCATCGAGGCCTGGTAACAGATGGAGTATACATCAGGAGGCGGTGGCTCCATCTGCTGGACGGGCCAGGTCTCGACGGGCTCCCCGGACAGGACTAACTGGGGCTGATTGGGAGCTGGTGAGTAATTAAGGGCGGATTGCTCAAGGCCCATAAAGCGGCCAGAAGGGCAGCACATGAGAGAGGACTGGGGGAAGTAAGGTAACGTCTGTGTAGGTGGAGACGGGATCCTGGAGAGGATATCATGGAGGAGGACTGGGGGAAGTAAGGTAACGTCTGTGTAGGTGGAGACGGGATCCTGGAGAGGATATCATGGAGGAGGACTGGGGGAAGTAAGGTAACGTCTGTGTAGGTGGAGACGGGATCCTGGAGAGGATATCATGGAGGAGGACTGGGGGAAGTAAGGTAACGTCTGTGTAGGTGGAGACGGTATCCTGGAGAGGATATCATGGAGGCGACCTAACCCTTTCTTTTGATTATTGTATTAATAAACACCCTTGAAACCGAGCTAATCACACTCTGGCCGTGTCTGATCTGTGTAAACGTCTTGACCCAACCCCCTGATCTGCCACAAATGATAGTGATTCACCACAGTGCAGATCACAGAGAATAAATATGATTTATACTATAGAATTACAGTGAGCCAGTGACTACATTACAGATCACAGAGAATAAATATGATTTATAATATAGAATGACAGTAAACCAATGACTACAGTACAGATCTCAGAGAATAAAGATGATTTATTCTACAGAATGACAGTGACATTACATTTACGTCATTTAGCAGACGCTCTTATCCAGAGCGACTTACAGTTAGTGAGTGCATACATTAATTGTTTTATTTATATCTTTTTTTATATATCTTTTTTCATACAGGCCCCCCGTGGGAATCGAACCCACAACCCTGGCGTTGCAAATGCCATGCTCTACCAACTGAGCTACATCCCTGCCGGCCATTCCCTCCCCTACCCTGGACGACGCTGGGCCAATTGTGTGCCGCCCCATGGGTCTCCCGGTCGCGGCCGGCTACAACAGAGCTTGGATTTGAACCAGGATCTCTAGTGGCACAGCTAGCACTGCGATGCAGTGCCTTAGACCACTGCACCACTACAGTACAAATCCCAGAGAATAAAGATGATTCATACTATAGAATGACAGTGAGCCAGTGACTACAGTACAGATCACAGAGAATAAATATGATTAATACAGGCCCCCCGTGGGAATTGGCAGACTAAATAGCCTTGGTTTCTCAAATGACTGCCTCGCCTGGTTCACCAACTACTTCTCAGATAGAGTTCAGTGTATCAAATCGGAGGGCCTGTTGTCTGGACCTCTGGCAGTCTCTATGGGGGTGCCACAGGGTTCAATTCTTGGGCCGACACTTTTCTCCGTGTATATCAATGATGTCGCTCTTGCAGCTGGTGACTCTCAGATCCACCTCTACGCAGACGACGCCATTTTGTATACATCTGGCCCTTCATTGGACACTGTGTTAACAAACCTCCAAACGAGCTTCAATGCCATACAACACTCCTTCAGTAGCCTCCAACTGCTCTTAAACACTAGTAAAACTAAATGCATGCTTTTCAATCGAACGCTGCTGGCACCCGCCCACCCAACTAGAATCACCACTCTTGACGGGTCTGACCTAGAGTATGTGGAAAACTACAAATACCTAGGTGTCTGGTTAGACTGTAAACTCTCCTTCCAGACTCACATAAAGAATCTCCAATCCAAAGTTAAATCTAGAATCGGCTTCCTATTTCGCAACAAAGCCTCCTTCACTCATGCTGCCAAACATGCCCTCGTAAAACTGACTATCCTACCGATCCTTGACTTCGGCGATGTCATTTACAAAATAGCCTCCAACACTCTACTCAGCAAATTGGATGTAGTCTATCACAGTGCCATCCGTTTTGTCTCCAAAGCCCCATATCCTACCCACCACTGTGGCCTGTACGCTCTTGTTGGCTGGTCCTCACTACATGTTCGTCGTCAAACCCACTGGCTCCAGGCCATCTATAAATCACTGCTAGGCAAATCCCCGCCTTATCTTAGCTCATTGGTCACCATAGCAGCACCCACCCGTAGTCTGCGCTCCAGCAGGTATATCTCACTGGTCATTCCCAAAGCCAACACCTCCTTTGGCCGCCATTCCTTCCAGTTCTCTGCTGCCAATGACTGGAACAAATTGCAAAAATCTCTGAAGCTGGAGACTCTTATCTCCCTCACTAACTTTAAGCATCAGTTGTCAGAGCACCTTACCGATCACTGCACCTGTACACAGCCCATCTGAAATTAGCCCACCCAACTACCTCATCCCTATATTGTTATTTATTTTGCTCTTTTGCACCCCAGTATCTCTATTTGCACATAATCTCTTGCACATCTAGCATTCCAGTGTTAATACTATTGTAATTATTTTGCACTATAGCCTATTTATTGCCTTACCTCCATAACGTGCTACTTTTGCACACACTGTAAATATATTTTCTGTTGTATTTTTGACTTTATGTTTTTTACCCCATATGTAACTCTGTGTTGTTTTTATCGCACTGCTTTGCTTTATCTTGGCCAGGTCGCAGTTGTAAATGAGAACTTGTTCTCAACTGGCTTACCTGGTTAAATAAAGGTGAAATAAAATAAAAATAAAAAATACTATAGAATGACAGTGAGCCAATGACTACAGTACAGATCACAGCAAATAAAGATTACGGTGTTACATACCAGAATGCATTTCAAAGTTTAAGACACTTTCGAAGATGTGAATATGACATGAGTTTCATTAAATACTACAGCTGCGTTTTCATCCATTTTGACCACATATCTATAGCCTCTCTATAATATCATAATAATGTTAACATCAACCTACCATGTGAAATGGATCTCAATGTTAAGATGTTGTTTGTGAGAATACAGTTATCCACTGTTTTACGGTGGAGTGATGAGTGGACAGATTAGAAAGACTTCCTCCTTTTCACCTCAGTTTCACATTTAGTCAAACATAGATGAGTGGAAAGATTATCTGTTGTTCCTCCTTTTCACCGCAAGTTTCACATTTAGTCAAACTTGTGAGTATTCGTTCTTGCCATATATTGGAAGTTTTTAGAAATTTTCAAAAAATGAGAAAACTAATCCGCACTTTATACAGAAGACTTACAAACATTAAACAATGGTTAAATACTTAAACAATTATCAATATTGACACAATTAAAATGTGAATATGAAAAAAATCTCAATCAAAACGCAACAATTACAATAGAATTTGATTCTAAACGTGGTATTACAGTTTTTCTCAATTGCTAAAACAGGAGGAAGAACCCATTGGCTGAACAAAGTTCTCAGTTGCCTGGATTATGCAGTCTGTTGTCAATACCTTAAACCATTTCACATGGTAAAACACAATTTGCAGATTTCACTTAGACTTTTTCAGCAAAACTCTAAACACGTTCTCATTCTCAAAACACATTCTGCACTCTAATGCACATGTCATCCATACTGGTAAACACAAGTGGCAACAATCAAATACAAATAGAGAACACATGTCATTGATTGAACACAACCACTCAAAATGGATTTAACCTGTTTCGAATGATGCGACACAACCAATATAAGCCAGTTCAGAGAGCAAACAGGTTGTTGAAGGTGGGAAGGAGAAAGTCTGAGAAGAAGATACAATGTGAGAGGAAGAGGAGTGCGTATGCGAGGTGGGCGACGAGGAGGAAGAGGAGGAGGAGGGCAAGAAAGAGGAAGAGGAGGACAAAGAGGAAGACAAAGAGTGGAAATATCTGATGAAATTCGAGCAAACAGGATGCGAATGAAACAAGTATACAGAGTACCATTTGTGCGCAACTCACCAAGGGTGAAAGAACTGCGAGCTCAGTATGTACATTCAGAAACATTTACTGTAATCCAGATTGTCTACAGTACTAACACATACTATGTTAATGACATTACTCTTCAGTACATACAATGTATGTGAATCAGAAGGGCATACAGTAGGCCTAATTGTACTCTACAGTATAGCACTGTCTCTGTACGACTACATACAGTATATTGTATTTCTACACAGACAATATTTGACTTGGAAACCTTGGACAGACCCCATGAGTTCATCTTTGTCGATGAAGCAGGCTTCAATCTAACAAAGAGGAGAAGGAGAGGCCCGAAACATGATTGGACAGCGGGCCGTTGTTAAAGTCCCTGGTCAACGAGGTGGCAATGTGTCACGATCGTTTACGGACGAGAAGGACCAAGGCGCAGCGTGATATGCATTCATATTTATTAACGACTAAACACACGACAAAACAACAAACGAAACGTAAAGTCCAAGGTAGCATACAAACAACATACCTTTACGGAACAAGATCCCACAACTAACTGGTGCCAACAGGCTGCCTAAGTATGGTCCCCAATCAGAGACAACGAGAAACAGCTGCCTCTGATTGGGAACCACACCGGCCAACATAGATCTACCCATTCTAGATCTTAAACACAGAACATCGACACAGCAAACACAAACCCAGAAAATACACACCCTGACTCAACAAATACAAGTCCTCAGAGTCAGGGCGTGACACAATGTCACAATCTGTGCTGCTATCGGCAACCATGGTGTTCCACATCACCATGTTACACTCGGGCCATATAACACCCAGCACCTTCTCAGATCTATTGCCAATCTAAGATATATTTTATTTGAGCAGCAGGTTCAAGAGCAGCAGGGTCGAGAGCTAAATGAGAATCCCATTCCCACCTATGTGATAGTGTGGGACAATGTCAGTTTCCACCGAGCTGCTCAGGTAAGGGAATGGTTTAACATCAATGGGCAGTTTATGAACTTGTACCTCCCTCCATACTGAGTCCGATT